CAAAAATATGAGGAAGGGAGGGAAAGTAGAAAAAAAGAAGAAGCATGATATATCATGTACAGGTACAAATTCCTCTGATGAATGTTACCATTGTGTGTATCTAAAATGTACTAAGAAAATAAAAAGTTTTTGAAAAAGATACATCATGTTCAGGTACAAATTCTATATGGTGAATGTTATCATTATATATATCTAAAATGTACCAATAAAATTAATTTTTAAAAATAATAATAATGAATAAAAAATAAAAACAATAGAAAAGATCAACAAAACTATGAGTTAATTTTTTTAAAAAGATAAAATTATCAAATCTTATCTAGGCTAAGGAAAATAAAGAAGATCCAGATAAGTAAAATAAAAAATGAAAGAGGATACATTAAAACATATCACAGAAAAATAGATTATTATGAATAATTATATGACACAATTTGAATAATTTAGAAGAAATGGATAAATTCTTGAAAATGTACAACCTACTAAGACTGAATCAGGAATAAATAAAAAATCTGAACAGATCATTAATGAGTAAGGAGATTGAATCAGTAAAAAAGTTTTCCATTAGAGAAATCCTCAACCTGAAGACTACTATTGAAATCTACAAAAGACTTACAGAACTAATCCCTGTAATTTTCAAACTATTAAAAAAGATGGATAAAACTCATTCCAAACTCATTTTATAATGTCAAACATTACCCTATACTGAACCAGAGAAATACCACAAGAAGAGTGAGTTGTAAGAGAAAGGCAATAATGTGAATTTTGGTAATTTTGAGTTAGGAGGTTTATATTACACCCACATAGTTTTACTACAAGACAATGTTATATTAACCTTAGGGCAGAGAGAATGATGGATCTAGGTGTAGCTGATCACTGAATTTTCTTTTTGTTTCTTTCTTTGTTTCCTTCCTTCTTTCTTTTCTTCCTTCGTTCCTTCTTTCTTTCCTTTCCTTTCCTTTCCTTTCTCTTTTTCCTTTTTTTTTAGGCTCTTTGTATTTGCCTGTGTTCTTTTTAAACTTTTATTAACATGTTTGCACTACATAATATTACATTTATCTCCATAGTGCATCTTAATTTTTCTTTTTGCTCCCCTATCTCTACCATCCCACTTTGTTCCTCCCAACTTTTGGTCCCTTTTCTTTTTGCAAAAGTGCTATCTGCTTTTTTTCTTCAATTCTTTGTTTTTTGTAAAAGTGCTTGAGATTACCCAATGTATGCAGGAAAAGAGGAACATAGAGAAAGTACTTCCAGAGCACACCAATATTTAAGCTCTAGATCCAGAAAGTATTCATGAAGGTAATAGAGAAGGTTTGTACTTATTATATATTTCTAACTTTCAAATTACCTCAAAACTTAATGATTAAGAATGTGAGAGTGGCTTAGGTGTTTCTGGCTAAAGGTACTCAGATATTGCAATCAATCTGCTTCTTCTAGTTTCCTTCTCTCAATTGAAAGCATGGCTTAAAACATTTTTGTAGTTCTATGGTCTTATATTTGTACAAAAACCTTAGTGGCATCTGTATTGGTCAGCTTTCCTGTTCCTGGGACAAAGAACCTGAACTTAAAACCTAAAGAGGAGAAGTTTATTTGGCTCACAGTTTCAGAGGATTCAGTCCATGGTCTTCCACTCCAAGACAGAAATGACATGGCAGAAGGACCTGCCAAAGGGAAATTGCTCAACCCATGGTATCCAGGCAGAGAGAGACACAAAGGGATGGAGGACAAAGATACAACCTTCGAGGTTGCACATCTAGTGATCAATCTCCTCCAACCAGGCTCCACTTTCTAATAGCATGTTGTGCTATGATCTCATCAGTGGATTAATTCACTGACTGAGTGTAGCACCCATGATCTAATCACTTTTCAAAAGTCCCACTTCTGAACACATTAGACTTTGGGAGGAAATTTCAGATCTAAACCATAACAGCATCTTTTATTCACTTATTTTTGTACTTACTCTGTATTTCCAATTGCTATGCAAATCTCCTCAGTTTGAAAACTAAAATATTTCTTAATTGTGTTTGTCTCCTGCATTTCCAATGCCAGAAGTGAAAATGATGCTTGGTCCATCTCTCTTATCTTGAAGAGACCTTTTCCTGTTCCTAGGGCTTAAACACTGGTGTGCTCTGGAAGTTCTTTCTCAATCTTCCTCTTCTCCTGCATACACTCGGTGATCTCGGGCACTGTTAAGAATTTACTGATTATCTATACCTAGATTCATCATTTTATCTGCCCTCAGATTAACATAATCTATTTTTGTAAGCTAACTATGTAGATGTCATATAAATCCTTATATTCAAAATTATAAAAATTCACACTATTATACTTTTCTCACAACTATATTGTTCTTTTGGTAGATTTTTCACTATTTGATCCCCAGACTTCTCTTGAGGATACGTCTTTCACTGGTGGTCATAGTGATGGTAGGCAGCACTGACTTTCTGTTACTCTCCATTCCATCTACTGAGCCTCTTCTTTGTACCAGGCAGTTCTAGACACTTTGTGCTTTATTATTATTATTATTATTTTGAGACAGGGTCTTGCTATGTAGTTTAGGTTGGCCTTCACCTCACTATACAGCTAGGCTGGCCTCAAACTTGTAGTGATCTTCCTGCCTCAGCCTTCCAAGCACTGAGATTATGGCTGTGCTCCATGAAAACTGATTTGCATTCTGCACTTCTTATTAACATATTTAATTTCTCCAAAAGTCTGAGTCATGAGCCCCATTATCATCATGTTTCAATTTTTTAACTACCACTCTACCCTCAGCTTTTTTCTCAAAATTGTCCATGTTTTTTGATGTCCCTTCTACAAATCAATGCAATATGCTTTGTTTTCCTCTCTGTTGTGGTTTTTTTTTGCATCATAAATACTTCTTAGTTGTTACCCTACTCTCTTTTAAGACTACAGCCTTGTGAGAAACTAATATACATTTCTTCTAAGTAAATGCTTTTTGAGTGAATAACTAAATGCCTGCCAGCATAATTATACTTAATAAAGACAAGAAAGCAATCAAATAAACATATAATTGGAATTACTATTAAAATTGACAGCAAAATTGTAAACAGCTGTTTCATAAACATTTCAACTATTCTTTTTATTGGCAAATTGAGCCCATTTAGAAAATCTAGCAACATAGAGTTAAAATTTATAATATACATATTCATTTATTTGTTCTGTGTTGTATTTCCTAAGGGATAAAAGTGTAAACTTTCCCTATATCTATCTTTAAAAGGACTATGACTTAAAAATCAGCCCAGAGAGGCTGAAGTTTGGAGTCACAGGGAGGGGTTAAATCATGAAGATACTCATGTGCCCTAACAAGTACACTGGGCATGATTGTGAGGGTAATGAGGGAGCCACAAGGGGCAGAAACATGATCAGAATTTCATTTTAGTTGTTCATGTTTTGTGGAGATGAATTTCAAAGGGTCAAGACCATAGGCAATATGCAAGGAAGGAAACTATTTTGTGTTCCATTAAGGAGATGTTGAAAGGCTAATCTGGATCTGTAATAGCAGAAATGGAAATGTGAAGATTAAAGTCAGTATATTTAAGAATTAAGAGCTCAGCAATGAATTGAAGACAGTATAGGATCTGAGCAATTGTTAGTTCTGAATTAAGGTTCCCTGGGTTTGAGTTTTGATAAATTTCTTCACTTATCATGCATATGACTTTAAGCAGCTTAGTTATTTTTCCTGACTCTCAGATAAGAAATGATAAGAATCTAAGGCAAAAGCAATGGAAATGATGAATAAAAGATTTAAGAGACATTACTAAAACTTGAGGATTGAGCTGGTACTCTGGTCTTCAAGGAAGATAGGTCTGTAATGGAAATCTTTAGGAAGGGTCTCAGGGTTCGAGTTTTGCAATTAAGTTTCCACTTACTGAGGCAGAGTATTCAAGAGCAAGAAGCAGAGAATTGAACTTAACATTGGATATCAGAGATACTTTGGTTGACTGTAGGACAACTGCAGATAACTGAATACACAGATATCTTGTTGTGAAGAAGTCATGGGCTGGAAATACAGCATCTGTAAGCTATCAGAATAGAGGTGAAGCCGGGCATGGTGGCTCATGCCTGTAATTCCAGCACTCAGGAGGCTGAGGCAGGAGTATCACTGTGAGTTCGAGACCAGCCTGGGCTACATAGTGAGTTCCAGGTCAGTCTCAACTACATAGTGAAACCCTGTCTCAAAAAACAAACAAACACACAAAAAGAATAGAGGTGAAAATTGATACTGCAGGAGGGAATGGAATCACTCAAGGAGACTATGGAAAGAACTTAGGGAAGCAAGATGGGAAAACCCTGTCTCAAAACAAACAAACACACAAAAAGAATAGAGGTGAAAATTGATACTGCAGGAGGGAATGGAATCACTCAAGGAGACTATGGAAAGAACTTAGGGAAGCAAGATGGGAACCCTGATAACTCCAATATTTAAGGGTCTGCTAAGTAAAGAGAACTTTAAAAGAAAACTTGAGATGGACTTTGGGAAGGATTGGAAGATGAATGGGAACCAGGTAACAGGGAATTAGAGAATAAATGCAAAGTACATGCATTGAGATAGCAAGTAAGCATATGTAGTGAGGAGAGTTTTTTTCTTTGTTTTTAGATTAGAACATTAAAAATTTCGATATATTAAGGGCAGAGTAGAAGGAGAGAGAAGGAAAGGATGAATGAAAGCTAGGAGAATGCCTAGCAAGGTACTTGGAGTAGGATCTAGAGTAGGGAATGAGAAAAACTTTCTATCGAGATTGAAGAGAAGGATTTAAGATGGTTATTTGCCAACTCTTTGTCACAAAGAGAAAGGATGGTAGATGGATTGATTATAGGCAACTGTATATTTCTAAAGTGATCCAAACCACATTTCCTCTTCTTGGAGTGAGTTTTCGGTTCACATTAAATTCTTATTCTAATGAATTTTTCACCAAATCTAGTATAAAATTTATGGAAGTAACTTTCAACCAAAAGCTGAACACTGTTTTCCTGAGACGACTTACCTCATAGGCCAAAGAAGCCAAGTTCCAGGGTTTTCGGTAATAGGTTAGAGTATTTCCATCCCGAACCCGGTCGCAGAGTCCATTGTAGAATTCATTGTCAAACGGTGTGTCCAGGGTATCCATCCCTAAAACATTGATCCTAGTATAAACAGAAGAGCATCAGGTGTAGAAATACCATGGCTAATGCAAGGCAGTCCTTGGTGGCTGGGGAAAAGATAGTGGGACAATTCAGTTCATGTCACCATCACCCATCATATGTGCAGCATAATTGGGAGCATAAGCAAGAGCCTGTTCAGCTTGGTTCAATCTCTGACAGAAAGCATAGCTTAGAGGGCTTTATAAATAAGGTACTGGATAGAGCATAAAGAATGAAATGCAGTGGTTGGTTGGTCCTGTTGCTTTCAGACCTGTAGCAAGGCTGCACTTCATGTCAGGGAGCGTGTGGTAGAGCAAAGCTGCTCACCTCATGGTGGCCATGAATCAGAGAGAGAGAGAGAGAGAGAGAGAGAGAGACAGAGAGAGAGAGAGAGAGAGAGAGAGAGAGAGGAAGACAACAGGACTCCACCATCCCCTTCACAGTACTGGGAATTGAATTTTGGAGCCTGTGCTGGCCAGGCAGGTGCAGCACCACTGAGCTACATTTCCTTTCCTACGCTGCTATTCTGAAGGCCCAAGTGGCTGCAAGAGAAGAAGTGGAATGGGATGTGGAAACATCTTCCAGAAGTAAAGATCAGGCGTTCCCGCCATCTTCAGCGCCAGAGGGCCTTCTCTGCTTCGCCCTCTCCTGCAGGCTGCGTTCTGACATCTTCAGCACCAGAGGGTCTTCTCAGCCTGGCTCTCCCCTGCTGGCACAGCTGCTGCCATCTTCAGTGCCAGAAAGGTAGCCGCGCGGGCACCCCTGAAACCCCCCAACCTTCCCCCTTGTGCTTTTAGACCTCCAGATTGTACCAGTCTTTGGACCTACTCTGTAGAGGCAGAGGTGGTCATAAAGAGTATTTTCTGGCACTTTCAACTTTGAACATCTTTAAAGAAGTGGTGGGGGAAACTTATAGTAGAAATCAGTGGAGTTCAACCCTTTAGGAGGTCGGGGAACTCAGTCTGGGCCTTGCAGCCCAAGCTCAGTCTGCTTTGTGGGGCTCTGCCACCAGCTAGCTGAGGTCAGGGGACTCAGCTCTGGAAATGGCAGCACATATGGTATATTATGACAGCAGTGATATAGTCTGAAAGAGGCCCTTCAAACTCATTTTTGTTTCTTTCTCATCTTTTGTTTCTTTTTCATCTTACTCTGAAAATTCTTTTTTTTTCTTTTTGTTTTCTTTCTCTAACTCAGTCTCTTACTTCACTATAGTATCCCTTTTCTCCCTTTTTGTTTCTGCTCTTGTCCTAATTCAGTTTTCTTCTTTTATTATTTTTTTCTCTTTTCTTTATCTTTTCTTCTTATGTTATTCTACCTCACTTAAGGGTTATTATATTTCTATTTTGTTTGTTCTTTTTGAATTTAAAAATTTCCTGACAATTGTCTGGTCATTCTACATCTTTTGGCTTCATATGAAACTTTCTCTAATTCTTATACTTATCAACTCCTCTTGTCTTAACTTTGTTTTAAGTCCCCATTGTAAATGGTAAATATCCTTATTGAAAAGTTTATTTATTGTAAGCATATTTTGGATTGCTTCTTGATTTTGATTAAATTCACATGATTTGAAGGTGTTAGATTGATGACTACCATAAGTGGTCAATTTGCAAATTGTGCTTCATTATATTGTGGTGCTGATTGTATCAATTAGGATAAAGGATTGTGATTGATTCAATGAGCTGTTTTCTTCAGTATTATGAAAATGAGAATGTCTATGAGTCATTAGAGACCCATGGGCTGCAGCCCAACTACATCAGGAAGATTTAAGGAATAACCTAAAGGTTAAACAAAGGACAACCCAACAACAATAGTAAAAAATGAGAAAACACTTAAGCAAGATACAGGGACAGACTTCCAGTTCACCAATGGCAAACAGTGGGGCAAATGAGGATGAAAAGTCTGATAGTGAACCATCAGGACATCTTGAACTCAAAGCACAGGAAGTAACAAAACTGATCAGTCAGGCTCTAGAGAAATATAAAACAGAAGTAATTTCCCAGATAATCATAGAGATGATGAGCAAAATGAAAGTTATAATTTGTGACTCTACAATAGAAACAGAGGAAAATAGATGAGCTCAGGACCATACTAGAAGCCATGAATGCCCAGCATAAGAAAGAATTGGAATCAATAAATGCCCAATACAAGAAAGAAATGGAATCCATAGGACAGACTCAAACAGATATCCAGGAGATTAAAAACTCCATTGAGAGTGTTCACAAAAGAATAAAAGAAGAGTTCAAAGATAGAATCTCAGATATAGAAGATAAAATTGCAGTCAGTGACAGTGAAAAGAGAGGTCTCTTAAAAACATAGGGGATCATGAGAAATTGGTACAACAACTCTTAGACGATACTAAGAAGAATAACATAAGATTGATAGGAATTCAAGAAGTAGTACGAGAAAATGTAAATGACTTAAAAAAGCTGTTCACAGAATTAATTATAGAAAACTTCCCAAACAGAGGGGAAGAATTTGATATATAAATAAGTGAGGCATATAGGACTCCAACTAGCTGTGTTAAAAAAAAATTACACCTAAACATATAATAATCAAGATCCCAGAAACCCAACAGAAGAACAAAATACTACAAGCAGTAAGAGACAAGAAACAAATTACAAGCAAAGGAAAGCCTACCAGAATCACAGCAGACTTTTCAATACAAACCCTTAGGTTAAGGAGAGCCTGGAATGAGATATTTCAAGTTCTAAAAGCAAACAACCTCCAACCAAGACTGATGTATCCCGCAAAACTTTCTTTTAAAGTGGATGGGAAAATAAGATATTTCCATGATAAAGAACACCTGAGAAACTTTATAAACACCAAACCAGCACTACAATGAATTCTAAACAATATCCTAGAAAAAGACAATGAAGGTAACAACATAATGAGGTCCAACAGAGCAAATCAAATAGGCAAGCCAAGAAACTAAAAGGAGAAGGTGAACAAAAAAAAACCATGATAATAATAAGTTAGTACGTAACAGTTATAGCCATCAATATTAATGGACTCAATTCACCAATCAAGAGAAATAGACCACCAGAATGGATTAAGAAGCAAGATCCAATAGTATGTTGTATATAAGACACATCTAGTGTAAAAAGAAGCCCATAGACTGAAAGTGAAAGGACAGAAAACTTCTACATGTAACAGGAGCTCCCCAAAAAGCAGGGGTAGCAATCTTATACACAGACAAAGTAAGTATCAAACTTAAACTGATTGAAAGAGACAAAGAAATTCACTACATCCTTGTGAAGGGAAAAATTCAAGAGGAAGAGATAACAAATAAGTTATTTTTAATTTATTGAGTATGTCAGAAAGTATATATATATATATTTTTTTTTTTCCTCTTTTCTTCTTTTTGTTCCTCTGATGCTGGGGATTAAACTCAGCACATTGTTCTGTCTAGGCAGGTGCAGCACTATTGAGCTAAATCCCAGGCTTTACATTTCATATTTTTAAAATTTATCAATACATTAATCCTTGTTTCTATATGCTGGTCTACCAAATTGATGAGTTATTTTGGTTCTCATTTTCTTTGCTTTTTTTATTTGAGAATTTATGAAATCTATATATATGAGTAGTATGAAAAGTATTAAGGTCCATCTGTCATTTTCCTCTTTCATCTCTGCTTTCTACAAACTTCCTTTTCTGTCACTACAGTTTGTTTGGTTGGAAATTTATTAAGAAAAATGTTGTTATGTTATCAATATATCTTTGTACCTATTTTCTACTGATGCCGAATCTTAATTTTTAAGTAAATTTTATTATAAGTATACTTAATCATTAATATCATTTAGTATCTGGTACATATTACAAATTCTCCAACTCCCTCAAAGATGACATTTGTTTTTTCTCAAAGTATACAAATCACCAACATTCCACACATCACTGCACTGTTTTATTATACCTAAGTATATATTGCATTGCAGAAAATATGCATTGTATATACGTATGGGGGATATGTTTTTACACATATGTGTTCACTATTAAATGACAAACATGGGCATGGATGTGGTAGGATTGTGCATATTTGGCATCTTGATAGTTTCTCTGGCAACCTTATGATGATTTCTTTAAATTATATGCTTGACTTAATTCATAGTCATTTGTTTGGGAAGAATATTACATATCTATTGGTGTTAAATTCTATCATTATGCTTACAAAATATAATAAAAATAAGTATGGGATATAATCAAATAGAAACAGAAAAAATCTGATCTTAAAAATGTGAATTATTTTAGTTGCTTTTGGATTTCAAATATAAGTATATTTTTTTCTGTGGGAAGTTTTGTTAGAAAATGTAAGTGGTACAGTCAACAAGTATATGATATTTATCAATTAATAAAACCAAGGTGTTTATAAATCATAAAATTTTGAGGAGTTTCTCAACTATAATATGTAACTTTTTTTTATTTATAATTACATTATTTCAAAAATATTATAAGAAAATGAGAAAGAACATGTTTGAAGATCATATCAAACTAATGCATTTTAATTAGTGTTACATAAATTCTTGCTTATTTCATATCCTTTTTTTGCTGTCATATATATGTATATTTGAAATTTTTATTTAGTATCTTCATTTCTTGTTATCATGTATGTTTGCATTCTTTAATAAAAAAAAAGAATGAAATGCAATACATGGATCACATGGGACTATCTGGCTCCTGGAGTCTGAAATGCACTTTTGGAATTCGTACTGAACCAAGAGCCAATGCTGTAACACCAGCTATTTAAATTATCTGAGAACAGAGTATCTCGTGGGGTGGGTAATAAAACATATGCAGGTAATTTTTTATCTACGAATCAACACTGAGGCTTTCTCCCCCCACCCGGTCCACCCTCTTTTAACTGAAGCCTTTTCCTCCAGCTTTCTTGTTGCTTGTCAAGGTCCTTAATTCCCCTAGGCTTATAGTATTCCTATCATATTTCCCAAGATGAGCGCAGTACTTTTAGCATCCCAATAAGACGTTCTTACACTTTCTCCCAGCAAAATATT